CCCAATAAGAACCCAATGTTCCAAATTTCTACGAATTCGGAACCGCAAAATTCTCAAAATTTGGGGGTACTGTTATATGGGAGCTATGCCTAAACGTGGGCCGATATGTCCCATTTTCGAAATTGACCTGCCTGCAGACAAAAGACAAACCCATTTCAGCACCCTATCTCATGCACTGTCGCTAGTGGTGAAAGTACAATTTTTAGAAAAACCTTAATTACGGCCTAATAAATTAACAATAAATTAGATTGCTGAAATTTTACACAGAGATAGTTGACAATATTATTGTAGATTATTCAAGGCAGTTTTCATATTTAGTGAAAGGATTTTTTAGTCATTTTAAGTTATATACAATATATATATATATATATATAAATGCCGACATTAAGAGCACTTACCCTACTCCTTTTAAAAAAAAAATCTAATTGGAAATTGATTTTTAATTTCACAGCATAAGGGGTAAATGAGTTAGACATAACTATTTAGAACTTATCAAAAAATACCACACCTTTTGCAATCATATTATTTATTTATTTCCAAAAACTATAAACTACATGCTTGACAATTAAAACATGTGTTCTCCTCGTTTGATTTGATTGGAACAACAAATTCTAATCAGACCAATTGCTGGCAAAAATAATAATTTCGCCAGAATGATATACAAAGGAACACAAAAACTATGACAATTACATGATGGTATCAAAAATTATTATGATTCACCCGGCCGGGCACCACACCCACAAAATGCTACCAATTTTGCAGCAAAGTTCACCGCAAACAATAGCAGCAGCACCAGCAACAATAGGGAAAAGTCAGTTGGCAAAAAAGGCCAACACACTTGAATAGCAACAACAACAAACTCACACACAGGGAGAAAAAGAAGAATCGATATTGTCCCCGATTTGCCGGCAACAAAATGGATGTCGATGACATGAAAAAACATGTTCTACATACCCAATAACAACAAAAAACACAACACTTAAATGAGAAATGAAATGCCAAGGAAGTGCAAAAACATGAGAAAAAGGAAGAAAACTATCAAAAGGAAAAGACATAATACCGTTACAAGGTGAATGAGGTGAGAGAACGAAACAAACACCTCATCAAAACTTTACTTTTGACATTATTTCATTGCAACAACAACAACAACAAACCACAAACAAGGAGAATTAAGTTAATGCAAAACTAAACGGCAACCATACACGCAGTACACAACAAGAACAGACTTGCTCTGTGCCTTTGGTACATTTTGTTGTTGGACAATCAATAACAAACGAAATTTCAGTTAAGAAAAATTTCAAATAAAAAAGCTTATGTTTAAAGTTTAAACAACAGCTGAACACATGTGTGTGCGTGTGTAAAGAAAGAGTTAAACAATAAACTCACACTGAGACACACAGAGGGTCTCAGAACTATCAACAGCAGCAGCAAGAAAAAGGCCATGGATAACACAACAAAAGCTTTTTGGTTTGTTGCTTTAGAAAAGGTGCCGCAGCCGCCGCCGCTGCTGCTCAAATATCTGGAAGGATCCATTCCAAGTAAAGAACAAAGCATATGATCAATAAAGACATGAGGCAAAAAGGAATTGGTAAGAACCACACACAACACAACAACAAAAAGATCCATCATCAATTAAAAATGGAGGTTATTACTCCAACAACACACAAAAGAAAAGAAAATCAAAAACCAAATGAAAAGGAAACACCAAACTTACTTGGAGGAGGGTTTTTTATCATCATTAATTCCTTCGAAGCTCATCATTTTTATTGTGTTATTTATTTAACTCTGTTGCTTAAAAAGTTATAAAATTTATTTTATTTTAATACCGGCGTTTTTCGGATATTATTAAATTCTCTTTTTTATATGTTAAAATTTTTTGTTTTATTGTTATGTCAAATAAAATACAACTTCAATTCGTTGTATTATTGCTTTTATTTATTGATTACACGGCGATACACTTTACTTTAATGTACCGGCTTTTTTCTTTTTATTTCGTAGGGAATTTAATAACTCAACGGGTTACAACAAATGTCCAAGAACGCACACACCAATATCAAACGATTAAAAAACAAAACACGGGCTTGAGAACTCAAGAAACGAACACAACTTGTCACGACAAAAGTTTGCGAAATAATGCGTTTTTATTTATGCCGCTATTATTTAAACGCATTCTACTTTTAATCAGAAACCGTTGTCGGGAACAGTCAATTTATGGCGGCGTTAAAACGTAGTTTGGTACATGGTAATTGATAATCAAATTAGGTTAGGTTAACACAAAATGTGGGGTTGGTTGGTTTAGATGGCACATGATAGTGATAAATATAAATTTGTTATTTTATTAAAGAATGAGATAATGAATTTGTTAAAAATATGTACAATAATTATTAATATCCGTATGCACGAGACAATTTAAAATTTAAAAAATTCAAGATATGGAATAAAAACAAAAATATTAAAACAGAAATATCAACGAAAAATAATTAAATATTGAAGATTACCGAAGTAAAAAATGTTTGCAGGTTCTGGAGCAGACAAAATATAATAGTACGTTTACATTGTACCGGATTAAAGTTATTTTCAATTCCATTACATATTTGTCAAATAAATCCTTATAAATGGCCTATTCCGGTACTTTTTTAATAGTAAAAGACAAACATTTCAAAAGTTCTGGAACGGAAATCCATTAAATATGTCGAACTTAGATGGCAATACTTCAAAATCAATATAACAGCTAGTCAGTTGGCATTCCTGTTTAACACTCTTATATGGACAAATTTTCCGAGTAAAGAGTTTAAAAGAGAAATCCATTTTGTTTTGTATTCCCTTAAATTTTATTCAATGTTTTAATAGTTTTGTGGGTTCTGGAACGGTTTACTCGAAAAAAAGTGGCAAAAATTGTAAAATGTGGTGATGTGGTTCAACAATTTGAAAGTTAATTGTACCACAGCTGTTGGTACAATTAACTTTCAAATTGTTGTTTTATTGTAAAACATATAGAAATTTTCTTTCTTATGTACTGAAAGTAATTATTAGTATTAACAAGATTTAAATGTTCTGGAATTGAGGAGATAAAAATTGCATGAGATTGCCTTCACAATTTAACATGTTATTGTACTGCAATAATTAGTACAAATTATGTACTATTTTATAAAAATTAAAAAACTATTTGTACATTCTTGTAGATAGTGGAACAGATAAAATATAAAAATATTGGTTAAATTGGGTTGTTTTTGAAACCAGGTATAAACGTGGTTTAATGTAGCAAAATAAAAATTATTTATTTTTTTAATATTAAGTTAAATCTTAAAGGTACTTTTACATAAACGATTTTAAATCGACTAAATTAACGAAATCCAGAAATACACCCCAATTGTTTACATAAATTTAACCATGATCTGAAATAAATAAAACACTTAAAACACAAAAATTCTTTAAATAATTTTTATTTTTCTCTTTTTGTATGCGGCAACTGTTAAATATAAAAACAAACAATATGTGAAAACAATTGTTAATTTTGTTATGTTGTGAGAGAGTTGTATTTTTTCGTACAAAAACCGCGTTGCATTTCATTAGTATCATGATTTCGATAGTGATTCAAGTGAAAACCTCAATAACTCTTGAAGATATAACCGATTTATTGTGCTAGCATCAAGTGTCGGCAAGAGGGCTTCTCAAACTATAAACGCATTTTTCTCCAAACAAAAATAATCCCATAAAACAACAACAAAACAATAACAAAAAAAAAACAGCCGCACGATGATTTGTAAATTTGTATGATAAATCATGGTAAATTCTGCCTGATTAAGAAAATAAACCCTAATTCAGCCTTTAATCAGGTTTAAATGTTATATGTAAATCCGCTTTAAAGGTAGCAAATTACGAAGATGTTACTAATTTTGTTATTATTTTTTTAAATATTACACAAAATCTTAATAAACAATCTATATTCAATTACTTCCAATTAGATTTTCTATTAATATGGCAACGAAGGTATTTGCGACATATTTCCATTTAAAATTTATAAAACACGTGGTTTCATTAACCACATAGCCGGTGTAAACGTAACCTAACTGAACTAAAATACTTATTACAATTTTTATTTGATAGATATATAATACATTATACATAACTCTTTTATTGATTCGCCTTTAATGTAAACTAATGCAAATTACCACAAATATCCATATTTTTCTTATTCCTTGTCAATTGTTATTTCTGTTGTAAAACATATCACAGAATGCGAACCCTCTTACCTTAAATTATCAAAAGACGCTTACGTTGCAACGCCGTCACCAAAAAGCTTTGACAAATATAATACGACGCCGATTTCCTAATACATCTTCGGCTTTACGCTATACGTTTTAATAAAGTAAATATTTATAATTCCAACAAATGGCCAACATTTACAACATCGTTGCAAAAAGAATAAAAAATATTAATAAAAATCGATCTTCTTAGCCAACGCTTCGATCGTACCGCAATCGCCAATAGAAATAAAATCGTTAAAACTGTTGAACAAAATTCGTGTGTTTTGATTTTGGTTGCATTTTGTCGACCACCACCACAACCAGAAAAAAAAACCTAACTTTCCCAACACAAAAAAAAAGAAAAACAGCGAGAAGTCGAGTCGTCTCCTCCTGTGTGTTGTGTGTATAGAGATTTTACAACCAATACACTACGCTCTAGCATCGTAGTCAACAACAACATACACACACGCCACCATAAGCCACCAAGCAAAAGCTATCGTGCCGTGGAGGGAAGGAGCAAACGCTGGGAGCAACACCACACAACACAGCCAGCCGTTTGAGCAGAGCCGCGCGCTAACAGCCAATGGTTGACTGCTGCTGGTCGGATGTACAAAAGACGCGCAATTATTTTGACTACTATTATTATTATTGTTTTTATTATTTGGTAAAGTCGCCAAGCGTAGCGTAGAACACAGATCCACCACGGCAGAAGAGACCGAAGTGCAGTATCTCAATCAGCAGCAGCAATAATACACTGGCTCAATTGTGGGAGAAAATGGATGAGGCCCTGTATTCGGCCACCTATGTGGATAACTACATTGATTCGGTAGAAAATCTACCCGATGACGTTCAGAGGCACTTATCGCGTATACGTGATATAGATGTACAGTATCGAAGTAAGTATATAGATGAATGGTGGACAATATCTACAGCACAGCTAAGCTAGCTTGCTAGCTAAATGTTGTAGTTAGATAGCATTGCTGTTGCTGCTGTTTGCTTGCCTCTTGCGCCAAAACAACAAACTTTCGCGAACAATGTTTTGTGGCATGGGTGGTAGGCGACGGGAGGTGGGGAGGCAACCAAACTGGCGGACAGCAGGCTGGCAATGTTTTTGTTTTGAGGTTAATTGCCTTTCGACTTAGTTTTTACAATTTGTTGTTGTTTTGTTCTTGTTCGTTTGTTTAGACCTCCTGCGAGATGTTGATCATTATTATGATTTATGGAGATCCCTACAGAATTGTGGCGAATCGAATATACCAAGGCGGGCACGTTCTGTAACCCGTATGCAACAGAGTTTAATTCAGGCCCAGGAATTGGGCGATGAAAAGATGCAAATTGTAACACAGCTACAGGAATTGATAGATCACAAGACACGACAACTGGACACGGACCAGAAGAATCTCGACATAAAAGAGGAAAAGGAAGATGTTATGCATATGCAAATGGATGAGTGTGGTGCACCGACACCGCAGAAACAATCACGTACCCAGAGTCCGGCAAGGGTTGGGGATTTGTCAACGCTGTCCGGAGCCATTGCCAATGGTAAGTATCAAAGTTTCGTGAGGAAGACTCAATTGGAAATAATGTTGTTCTTTGCTTAGGTTATGGTGCCGGTGGTTCTTCGGTTTTAAATTCCGCCGGTGGCGGCAATTCCACACCAAATTCCGAACGTTCCGGCAGTGGTAATATGGGCTCAAGCGGCAACAATGCCAATGGATCAAGTGGAGCCGGCGGTCTTCTTAATTCATCTAATATGGATAATCAACGAAGCAATAGTAAACGTTCTCGACGCCGTAATGATACCGTTGGTAATATGGAATTGGGTGGCAATGAATCGAATTCCGCCAATGAGGGTGGCAGTAATGGTGCCGATCGTAGCAACAATCAGAAATCATTAAATATGGCGGCGTCACAGAAGAAAAGTGGTGGTGTACAAAATATTGCCGGTTCAGCGGTGTCAGCATCTGCAGTTACAGGATCTGGTTCAGGATCGGGTAACGGCAGCGGTTCGGGTAATAATCATTCGGGCAAAAAGAAGAAACGTAAAGCACGTGGCGGTGGAGCGCAGTCGTCGGCGCAAGCCAGAGATGCCAGAGAGGAAACACCACCGCCCGATCCAATTGATCCCGATGAGCCAACATACTGTGTATGCAATCAGGTAAGGAGGAGGGTAAAACATTTTACATATTCAGCCTTTTGGACAGATTCAAAAAAATTCCAATTTTTGGATAGACTTAAAACGATATTTGTAAAAAATGCACGCCTTAAAAAAATATTTTTAAAAACATCCACGCCTTTAAAAAAATATTTAAAAAAATTCAGGCATTTAAAAATATTTGTAAAAAAGCACGACTTTAAAAATATTTTTAAAAAATCCACGCCTTTAAAAAATATTTTTAAAAAATTCGCGCCTTTACAAAATATTTTTAAAAAATCCACGCCTTTAAAAAATATTTTTAAAAAAATCGCGCCTTTAAAAAATATTTTTGAAAAATCCACGCCTTTGGCTAGGCCTTTCATTTTTTCATCTTACAATTATTTCTCCTTTTCTATTTTTATTAATTTAATTTTTCTCCTTTTTCTCATTTCAGATATCCTTTGGTGAAATGATTCTCTGCGATAATGATCTGTGTCCCATTGAATGGTTTCATTTTTCGTGTGTTTCATTGGTATTAAAACCCAAAGGCAAATGGTATTGTCCGAATTGTCGTGGCGACCGACCCAATCTTATGAAACCCAAAGCTCAATTTCTTAAAGAACTGGAACGTTACAACAAAGAAAAGGAGGAGAAAACGTAAAGTAGACCACCACAGCATCACCACCGCCAAACAACAAAAACAACAACAGCACAGGAGGTGGTTCACTTCAAAATGTTCAAAACAGATGCACCGAACGCGACATCAATCCCCCGACGATATATATATATATACAATTAATATTGAAATTATTTGATTTCACATTTAAGTATAAGTAAACTTTAGTATGTAAAAAAAGAAAAGAATAGAAAGAGGAAAAACGAAAAACAAAAGAGGGAAAAAGGTTGCTGTATTCATTTTTCTAACTTTAATTTCGAGCTATATACATATATTATTATAATATATAATATAACGGACTGTTTTTTTTGTAAAAAAGGCTAGAAGGATAATGTTATGTTTTTTTTATTACATATATATATATGAAAAAAAAACAACTGAACTTAATGCTAATATTTATGTCGTTAAAAACGTTTCTTCTTCATCTTCTGTAGTGTACAAAAAATACAAATGTTTATTATTTTCAGCTTTAAATAATAATTCTCTATAGCAAAAGAAAAACAAAAACAATAAAATAAACAAATTTTAATTACAATAGTGCAACAGACAAAAGCAATAGACAAATTTCGTAGAGAAAACCGAAATAATTGTAAATTAGCACAACTAAACTTGATGTACTCTTTAAAAAGATGAAAAGGTAAATATTGCCGAGAATTGGTAGAAGGTGGATTTACAATGTTGGAATGAATAACATTTTTAGTAAACCCCTTTCTGCTACTGTAATATGCTTACTTTTTAAATAGGCATCCGTGTTTTTTAAAGAGTAATTTAGCAAATATTTGTTTAAATATAAATGTTTCTCATAAATGTTGTAGCCAATAGACTCAAACACACACACATAATTTCCAGCCTTCAAATTAAATAGAAATGAGCACCCCCCTACAAAAATGATTATTTATTGCTGAAATTTCCTCCCTTTTTCCTTAAATGTTTGAATTCGAATTTTTTTAGTTTTTATTTGCATAAATATTTGTTCTAAACAAAGCAAAAGCCAATCCAGACATTTTACAACTGTGTTTCCTTTTTTCCGTAAATTAAGAGAGCCCTGAATTTTGAGCCTTCTTTTTATTATTTGTTTTTATTTTTATTTCACACAAAATAAATAATATAACGGAAAAAGGAAACATTTTACACTGTACATTTTTCTTATATGTTGTTTTTTTTAACGAAACGATAAAAATAAAAACAAACATTTGAATTACAAATATTGTAGTATTTAAAATAAATAATATGTAATAAAATATACCTTGTAAAGAAGAAAATAAAAATAAAATGGGATTTTTTTATTTAAAATTAAAAAACTTGGATAATGAAAATAAATTAAAATCATGATACTACCATGTATGCCCGTTTGGAAGCACGACAATGTCATGCAACAGGGTTTAATAAAGTTCCAAGAATTGGGTAATGAGAATATGCAAACTGTAACACAGCTACAAGCATTGATAGATCACAAGGCACGACGAAAACTGGACATTATTTCGTCCGGCGTTAACATTGACGAAGTAAGTGCAAGAATTTTCAACTATTTAGCCACTATCACAAACTTCATCCGGGAGCGCCATCTAAAATAATCCTCTGCAAAATCTACTGTGTCACTTTTCATTTCCTGGACCCGAAAAGTCAATTTAAAACTTGACATTTCCGTTGATGGAAGGCGCATCCCCATAATCTGAAAATCCTTGGGGTGGTCTTCGATAACCTCCTTCATTTCTCCTCGCATTCTAATTACATCAACCAGAAATTGAATGCTAGGCGGTCTCGGAAGCCATAAATGGCTACAGATGCAAAAAAGTCCTACAACAACATCCTCCTGCTATTTCGGAGAGTGCGAAGCTTCTTCCTAGGCAAATCCGTTCAATTCTGGCATAACTAAGGTCCGGATACAGCAATGGTCTCAACTCATATCGGAAGCGCATTGTCCTCGGAACCCTAAACAGTTGCCCGCCCTGCCAGCAAAGCCCTCACGACCCACACCATATTTTCAATTGCCCGTCCGAGCCTACAAGTCTATTGCCTATAGACTTATGGCTAAAGCCAATAGAGGTGTCACAAATTCTCCGGCTACCCTCTTCAAATCCGATTGTTTAATAATTAATTAATATATTTTCTTTTTCCGTTTTTTTCTATCAACATGTTCAGGAAAGAACTTTCATCAGCAGCCAACTTACAACAAAAACTGGACACGGACCAAAAGAATCTGGACATAAAAGGGGGAATGGATGATTTTATGCATATACAAGTGGATGTGTGTGGTGCACCGACACCGCAGAAATAATCATGTACCCAGTGCTGGCTAGAATTGGTGATTTTTGAACATTGTTCGGATTTATAGTCGGTATCGATATTTCTTTGGGTATAAATTCAAACGGTGGCGCCAATACCGATTTCACCAAATTCTGAACGTCTGACAGTGGTAATATAAAATAGCGATAAAATAGTGTTTCTTTGGGTCTAATTTCAACCGGTGACGGCAATTACACACCAAATTCTGAACGTCTGGCAGTGGTAATATCGATCGGTGTAAAGGGCAAACAATACCGATAAAATAATAGTGGCTCTTCGGGTCTAAATTCAACGGTAAAACCATACCAAATTCTGAACGTTCTTGTAGTGGTAATATTGATCGGTGCAAGCGGCAACAGTGCCAATGGCACAAGTGGCACCAGCGGCCTTCTTAATTCATCCAACATGGATAATCAACGAAGTAGTAGCAAACCTTCTCATCGCCACAATGATGGCGTTGGTAATATGGAATTGAATGGCAAATTCCGAATTCGAATTCCGTCAATGAGGCTATGGCGTTAATCGCGGTAACAATCAGAAATCATCAAATATGGTGGCGTTACAGAACAAAAGTGAAGTGCCAAAAATTTACCAGAAAAGAGATGAAAGAAAACCCCCAGCTTCAATTGATCCCGATAAGTAAACCCACTGTGGCTATCAAAAGGATTATGGACAGGGGTTTTAGAGCAAACTTGTCTTAAATTTATCTTGAAAGACCAAAAAGTCCAAATACCACAATGTAGAATATCAAAAGGTATTCTCATCAAATACCAACATGTCTTCTTCTAGCATATTAAATGATATTTTTTATGGATTATCAATAAGCCATCTCTTTTCGAAAACCAAAACGACTTCTTATAGAAGATAAAAAAAATTCCATCTTAAATTTGATTTTTTAATAATTTTTTTTTGTAATCTATACACATTTTTGTTTATATACCATTGACAGAATTGACCATCAAAAATGTAATTTAAACTTTACAATAAATAACGTTTAAAATTTCCTTTTTTATTAAATAAAAAATATTATTACGGGGACACCCGAATACTCCTAAAATAGCAACCCTTAAAATCAAAGCTTAACAAATGCAACGCTACTCGACGCAAAGCTTTATTAAGAAGGTAAACAACAATAAATTACAGCGGAAACAATATGGCAAATATTTGTATGTTTTATTTTTGATTTTTAATTAATTATTTGTGATAAATATAATAAAGAATTACTAATAAAATACAATAAATCAAGATTAGAAACAAACAATTATTTTATATTTGCAAAATAAACCTCCCCTACATTGCAATTGCCATACGTTAAACTTCAAGCAACACGAAAGCTTCATTAACTAGCAGAGAGACCCCAGCCAGCCAGAGAGCGCATTTGCAAAGCAAAAAAGAATAATTGTGCATCATTATTTTTTTGTGGCTTGCATTGATTTTTTGCCTGGAACAGAGTTTTGGAAGAAAACCTAACTACGGAATTAAATAAATTAAAAACAGAAATTTTAATAAACAACAACAAACAAAATGTCTCAGGTTGATCAAGTAAGTTAAAAAGGATATAAAATAATTTTGTAAAATTTATTTTTTTTCCTTTGCAAAAACTAACCCCATTTATTCAGGACTCCGAAAAAATCTAATACGTTTTTCTGTTGTTGTTTGTGTTTTTATCCACAGAAACGAGCATTCAATAAATTGAAACATGACCTGGAACCATGGCGTAATGTCATCGTACATATCGATTCGCTGTTGGTGTGGGAGAAAAATTTCTATCCGGCAATTATTTTTGCTGCGGTTAGCATTTTCTATTTGTCATTGTGGGCCATGGATTTGTCGATAATCACTATGGTGGCATTAGCCGGTCTTTTGGGTGTCATCTTCGATTTTCTTTATCCAACAATATCGAAATTGCTCTTCAACACCGATCAATGGAGTGGCAAACAGGAGGCCCAATTTGAAAATGTTGTCACCCAGCTGTGTGATATCAAATTTTTACTATTGGGTTGGTATGAATATTTGTTTGCCAACAAGGAGAAGAAGTCGACAGTGGTGAGTAATAAAAGGAAATTCAATTTTATTAAAGCCTATTTATAAATTAATTGTATGATTTTGCTTTGCATTGAAATTTAAATATACGTTTTGAAAAAGAAATAGATATCATAATTAGGGTGTAGCTTAAATAAAGGATGACTAAGAAATTCCCATATTCAATTTATACCTAGTTTCTTTGAGCAGAATAAAATCGAATGATAATATTGTTAAAACTATTTATAGACCTTGGAGGCTTTTGTATTATTTGATTGAATGAATAAATTAAAAAAATATACCGCAACTATTTTTTAACCGCGAATTGCGGTTAAAATTAACGATGACTAAAGCAATAGATTTTGGTATATTTCAATATATTAATACATTAAACCTTTTTATTAGTTAGTTGAAAGATTTGCCAATCTCCTAGTAGGCGCGTCTTCCCGTGTGGCGGATGGGAAGGGGGTCTCCATGATGTGCAGAGTGAAACTGACCTAGGTCACCTTTCCTCTGCACTTCGTGGAAACCTTGGGGATCCTCGGATCCCTCGTGGGCCAAAATGAATCGGGGTAGTGACCTTAAATTAATTAACTACGATGGGTAAATGGAGCAAAAAGAATAAAGTTACGGTGCAGGGTGTTAATAACCCAGTACCGGCGGCAATCGTTGGTGAGGTCACAAGCCGTCTGTTCTAGGTGTGGATGCCTTGGCACCTGCAGCTGTATCTGTTACAAGTGCATTAATTTCAAACCCAAATAACGTTGGCATACCGGCAATTCAATTGGTAAACGAGCAAGTCAAGACTGATGAAAATCAGTCTCTGGCTGACAGGACTGTAGTTCTGGGAGGGGACACGGGACTCTAAATGCTATCCGCGATAGTCTAGAGGAGCAAAGTAAGGAAATATTCAACCAGTTAGACAGACTAATACCGGAAGAGCAATGTGGGGATACGATTCCGGAGGAACTGCTACTGAATCTCACCCTAACTGATGATGAGCTGGACAGCACGGTGATTCCAGCCAAGTCTATACAGCTGTCTGCCCGGCTGGTGCGCACGTTAACTCTCTAAATAGAGTAACCAATTGCATTAAAATTTTGGACATCGTAATATTTCTCCCAAAACTTTATTCATGCTCGAAGATGGCGAATATCAGTCCACTCCTACTGGTACATCCCCCACAAAATGTTCAAAATTGTATTGAAATTTAATTTTGTAATATCCTGCGATGTGAACCAAACTTTGCACAACCTAATATGTTTACCAAGTCTGTATATTGTTGGAAGATGGGACCATATCGGCGCATTCCTTCTGGTACCTCCCTCACAAAGTTTCAAAATTTACGATTTTTATTAATCCTATATTAAGCGAATCAAATATCCGATTTGACCCAAACTGTACACACCGATGTATTTTTATCAATCCTAGATAAAGTTAAAAGATGGGACCTGTTGGTCCACTCCTCCTGGTATCTCCTCCAAAAATCTTCAACATTTTGAAAATTTGTTAATTCAATACCAAGCGAATGCAATGTCCGATTTGACTCAAACTTTACACATCGTAATACTTTCACCAAACCTTGATCATACCGAAAAGGTCAACTCCATCTGGTACCCACATCACCATCTGGTACATCACATAGTGGAAAATTTTGAAAATTTGTTAATTCAACATTAAAGGAATGGAATGTCCGATTTCATCCAAAAATTTCCCATCATAATATTTTTATCTTGACTAGATCAAGTCCGTAGATGGGACCCACAAACATTTCAACACATATTTATATAGAGCAGCCTCTTCTGGTCCACAGTTGGGCAGCTATTTGATAACAAAAATATAAAGTATATGCGTGTAGTAATTACGCTGAATTTCGCAAACCGCCTTACTTGTTTATTTTTTTATTAAACTTTAAGAATTGTTATATAGTTATCCTAAATAATTTTTAAGTTGATCTACATTTTGATACAGATCTGCTCTGTGATGAAACATTAATTTTTATTTTTTTTTTCTAATTTGTGTGCTCTACTTTCAGTTTGTCATCATAATGAGCATTGTTTTGCTTACCCTTGCCTGGATTGGCGCCATCTTCAATAATCTACTGCTCATGTATTTCGTTACCTTGGGCTTGGCCATGTATCCCGGTATTCAGGACAAGGGGGTATTGAATAAATTTAAGGAGCGATTTGGTTGTCTTGTTAGTTCCAATATGGAAAAAATACGGGAGGTAACCAAGAAGCAAGACTAAAGCAATTCCATTGGAAACAAATATTATTAAATAACAACAAAAACAAAGTATTTCAATATAATATAAAAAATAATATATGTAATTTATTCTTTGATATTTCTTTAGGATAATTAGAAATTATTCCTTTTTGAGAACACACACATTTTCATGACAACAACAACAAAAGAATCTAAACTGATGGATATGCAATACAATAAACAAAAAAGTATTAATATCTTGTGTGAGAATTAAAATGGTCGACCAAAGCATTAAATAAGTATTTCAAAACAACAACAAAACCAAATATGCTATACTATTAAAAAAACTATAATAATATTAAATTTAATCTCATCATTGTCATAGATTTAAACAAACAAAAGCAAACACAAACAAACAAAAACAACTAAAGCACAACAAACAATAACGGATTGCATTTCTAAGTCACCACCTACCTCTCTCTTCTTGGCTTCTCATTATCTCATTAATTGTAATTTGCTTTCACTTTGTTTGAAAAAAATTAAAAAAAAAACAAATTTCAAAATACATATAATTTTTATAGCCTATAGTGTTTAAAAACACATTCTTTTTAGTATTTAAGTTTTAATTTGTTTATTTAATGAAAAAGAAAAAAAATACATCACCTCCCCTAATTTGATTAATTTATTTTAAATAAAAACAAATCTCAAAATTTTATTCATTGAAGAATAATAAAAATTGATAATAAAAAGAAAAATATAATTTAAAACAATAACATTTATATTTCAAAAGAAAATGGTAGGAAAATTATAATAAGCTAAGTTTGGTATTCTGAATTCTGAAAAAAGAGATTTGTAACAAATCTAATAATTTATATAAATCATTTAACTGAGTTTAAGATTATTAATTTTTAATTATTCAAATTGCCATTAAACAAAACACTTCCTAAAAAATTACAAAAAAAAAAAAATACACCATAAAACCAATTAAATTATTTTGCTCTTAGTTTTTAAGCATGTCTATAAATTCTTAAAATATCAAATATTTAATAAAAAATCAATTTAATAAAACTACAATTTATTAAATAAAACAAACAACTCTTTTATTCCCTAATTTTATTTTCTTTATTCTTAATTTACATGTTCAATCTTGCTGTATGTTATCTTCTTCCTCTTGAACGGGAACGTTCACGTTGTTTTTTGCTTTTCTTATTTTTACTTTTATGTTTTTTCTTTGATCTCTCCTCCTCGGAATCGCTTGAATCCGAGGACGATGAATCTTCCGAGTCCGAGCTAGATTCATGATGTCTGGATTTGCTTTTCTTTGATTTTTTGGATTTCTTATCAGATTTTTTCTTCTTTTTGTTGGATTTTTTGTTTTTCCTATACTCCTCTTCACTATCACTTGAGTCAGAATCATTAGAAGATTTCGAATTCTTTCGACGACTTCTTTCCTCGTAATCTTTTTGCTTTTCTCTGGATAAATTTTCAGTTTTTCTATCTCCGTCATTGCGATAATTTCTATCGTCATTGTCATAACGTTCATCTTTGTAACGCTCTACTTCACGTTTTTTGTACTTCTCATCATCTCTTCTATAATCACGTTCGTTTTCTCTTCTCCTGTCATCGTCTCTATGGTTATCCTTTCTACTATCCCTATCCTTATTTTCATATTTATCTTCTCTTCGATTATATTTGGATTCATCAACATCCCGATATTTATCATTTCTATTATCCCTTTCTCTATCTCTTCCTTTGGAATCATCTCTATCCCGATAGTTATTTCTATCATTGTAGTTATTCCTGGTACTTTTGTTGTCACTCTTGTTATATTCGTCTTTATCCCTCCTATCTTTCCGGCGATCATCAGATCTCCTCAAAGGTTCTTCCCTAGTGTCTTTCCGATCTCTTCTCTCATCGTAGTCTCCCTTTGAGTTTTCTTCTTTCTCATACTTTATATTTTTACGTTCTCTTTCCACGGGTTCATCCTTTACATTCCTACGATCCTTTCTGTCGTCATAATCCCTTCTTTCCGAACGTTCTTCTTTTATTTTTCTGGAATTCCTTTGATCATCTTCATCGGATGAAATTTCATGGACTTCTTTGCCATTTTGAACATCTTTAGAATTATTTTTATTATCATCCTTTGGTTTTCTGATATCGTTTTTCTCTTCCTTTATAACAATTTGGCCAAATTCATTTTCCTTTCTTTTATATTCTTCATATTTAGTGGAATCTTAAAAAAAGAATAACAGAATAAATTAAAAATTTGCAAGGAAAACACATAGATATTTACTTACTTATACACTTTCCATATTGGGCATACTCCTTGCGTGACACCGGTTGACATAGAAACTCATTAAATGCTTCCTTGGCACCACCAATGGCCATTTTAACAATAACCCTACCAGCATGATCATCAAATCCCTCAATTTGACCATAGAGATCTTTGTGTTTGCCACCCAATATGCGTACATAGGCATGTCTCTTAATCTCCAAGACCTCATTCGATTCGGGAGCCACCAACAGAGGTTTAGCTTTTAAAGCTTTATCAGCTCCAAGACCCATACCTTTGGGCCGTACCATAGGCATATCATCAACAGGCGGGCCACCTTTGGTGGGTTTAGGCGGTTCCACCCAACCCATACCACGCAGTAAGGCTTTACCAAAATCTTGTATTGGAATATTTTCATAATCATCCATCGATGACTCTTTGGCACCCTCCAATGGCAAATCGTTGGGATGTACAACGGGTAATGTTAGATTTTTATCTGTATCCAATGACCCATTTGCATTTATTTCAGCCAAAAGTTCTTTGGCGGCTCTTTTCTCCAGATCCTCAGGTTCATTGCCGTTCTCCTCTATGGGAGTTTCCTTGTTTTCATTTTGTTTATCCACATCATTGGGTTCATCTTCTCCCAATAGTACAGCTCGACGTTTCATTAAACTGGCCAAGGCAGATGAGGTTTTGTGTGCTCCCTTTAGGGGTATAACAAGTGGTGCTTCTTCCTTTTTCTCCCTTAAAATATGAACTAATTAAATGGTAAACCTCTATGTAGGTATTTTGTTTACTTACTCTACCAGCTTGATTTCCTGGCCCTCCAAACATTTTATTAATTCAACTTCCGGTTTCTGGACAGGTTTATTTGCACTTAAATTCACTTTTTTATTTATTTTACTAAAACCAAATGATATTTTCTTGGCCGGTTCCATTGTAATTGGTTAATTATTTTATTATATTTACAATAAATAAACGTTTATTTCACACGGAATTCGGTTTAATTGGGTTATTCACTGAAAAGAGCCTGTGAACTAGTGAACGGATGCTCACTGATAATGATCCAATATTGCGCAATTCACCTAAAAATGATAACATATTCTGTTATCGTTGTGGCGTTTATGTATTTGTGGAATTATTAATATCGTTTGATAAAAACATGTAAAAAACTACAACAATATTTCAAGATATGTTCGATTTTAAAAGTTTATACTCTCATCTTCAAACTACAAAGTGAGACAATTTAGATTGTCTAATAAAAATTATGGTTGTGGTGCTTATATATTTGTGGGGTTATTAATACCCTAAAAGCTCGCATAAAATTCGAAATAGGGTCAATTTCAAATGTTAATACTCTCATCTACAAATTACAGGATCGCGGCAATTTAAATTGTCTAATGTAAATCCAGACTAACATATTTAATTAATAATAATTACATAGTACGTTTACATAGTACTGGATTTAATTAGTGTCAAATCATTATAAAGTAGGTTAAACTTGCAAAAACTTCTAATATACATGTCATTTTAGTGTGGACCGAAACTAACAAAAGGAGATGAATGTCTTAGCCGTAAGTCGGAGCAATGTGAAAATAATGAAGTGCCATATTGTGTTATATCGCTGAATTTATCCATATTCAGGAAGATTAGATGCTTCAGAAGATTGCTGTCAAAATCCATTATTGCGAATTGACTTCCATACGTAAACAAAAGCCACACTTTTGACATTAGACTTGAGAAAAAACAGCTGACTTTCGCTAGATGGGTGACCTTGTTAATAGATCTTGATCCATATCATAACCATACGTTAATTGCGAAATACAAGATTTTTTAATAAAGTTTTCACGTACACAGAAAATCTTCCAGTACGATTATGTAGTCAATCAAAAGCCACTTTAGGAACTTTTTAGTCCCGTAAAATTGACGAGTAACCAACTGTCATTTGAAAATAAGTTCATGCTTTGACATTTTTACTTTTTTTCCTTTCCCGATACTTTGTTAATATTTGAACTATCAGACATTAATTCACGTACACAAAGAATATCCTAATTTTACTAGTTTTTCCGATATCATAATTGGAAAATTGTTTTCGAAGTAAAAAGTAGTAGATTACTGAAGTACGGGAACAGACCAAGACTGAGAACAAGAATTATAACCTATTTTTTAATTTTAAAATATAATTTTATTAATTTATTTCAAATCTCCCTATCATCGACGCTGTCTGTTTTGCCACCATTGTGTTTCACATTTGAATATTCTGGAAATGTCAAATTACTATTCAATGGACGCATACGATGTAAACATAACCTTAAACACTCACGTCATTTTCAAGTGATTTTTGCAAAAGAGGGGCGCCGCTAGCAGATCTCACACAAAGCACGAGTTTTCGACTGATTTACGGATTTTTTCAAAAAATTTTCAATAAAAAATGTTTGGTGGACAACAGCCCATATTGGTTTTGAGTAAGTTTTTATGAAAATTTCATTATTATTGGAGATAATTAAATGATTTGTTGCATATTTTAGGCCAAAATACCAAAAGAGAGTCTGGCCGAAAAGTGCAGCTGGAAAACATAAATGCCGGAAAGGTATGTGTAGTGTGTGCATGTGTTTGTGTGTGTGGGTTTGCCTCAAGTGACTCATGTGAATCGAATCGAGACAAGAAATGAAATGAATGATGACCATCTGTTCATGATTTTAAACAATTCATTTAATTTTCTTCGATTTTTAGGCCATTGCTGATGTTATCCGCACTTGTTTGGGCCCACAGGCCATGTTGAAAATGTTGATGGATCCTATGGGTGGCATTGTTATGACCAATGATGGTAATGCCATTTTGCGTGAGATCACCGTCCAACATCCCGCTGCCAAGAGCATGATTGAAATTGCTCGCACCCAAGATGAAGAAGTGGGTGATGGCACCACATCGGTCATTGTTTTGGCCGGTGAAATGTTGGCTGCTGCCGAACCTTTCTTGCAACAACAAATCCATCCCACCGTCATCATTCGGGCCTACCGCGAAGCCTTGGAGGATATTATTAAACATTTGCAAACAGATTTGAGCACTGTTTTGGATGTTAATAATAAGGAGAAAATGGCTGAGGTTGTCAAGTCCTGTGTCGGTACCAAATTCATTGGCAAATGGTCCGATTTGGCGGTGAATATTGCTTTGGATGCCGTGAAGACTGTCACTTTGAATGAAAATGGTCGTTTGGAGGTTGATATTAAGCGGTAAGAAAGCATTGTAGGAGAAGATGAGTTTATTTTATATTAAAATTGTTGCGTCTCCCTTTTATAGTTATGCCAAGGTTGAGAAAATCCCCGGCGGTTCCATTGATGAGTCCTGCGTCTTGAAGGGTGTCATGATCAACAAGGATGTTACCCACCCCAAAATGCGTCGCTATATTGAAAATCCTCGCATTGTTTTGTTGGACTGCTCCTTGGAATACAAGAAGGGCGAAAGTCAAACCAATGTCGAAATTGTTGGCGAACAGGACTTCACCCGCATGTTGCAAATCGAGGAGGAATTTGTCCAACGCATTTGCGCCGACATTATTGCCTTGAAACCCGATGTTGTCTTCACCGAAAAGGGTGTCTCCGATTTGGCTCAACACTACTTGTTGAAGGCCGGCATTACTGCCATCAGACGCTTGCGTAAGACCGATAATTTGCGTATTGCCCGCGCCTGTGGTGCCACAATTGTCAACCGTACCGAAGAACTGACCGAAAAAGATGTCGGTACCGGAGCTGGTCTCTTTGAAATTAAGAAAATCGGTGATGAATATTTCACCTTTATTACACAATGCAAGGATCCCAAGGCTTGTACCATTCTGTTGAGAGGTGCCTCCAAGGATATTCTCAACGAGACAGAACGTAATTTGCAAGATGCCTTACATGTTGCACGTAATTTGGTAATTGAACCACGTCTAGTGCCAGGTGGTGGTGCCATTGAAATGGCCTTGTCACAACTTCTAACCCGCAAACAATTGAAGGGCCCATACACTGCTGTGGCCGAAGCTTTGGAAATTATTCCACGTACATTGGCTCAAAATTGCGGTGCCAACACAATTCGTACACTGACCGCCTTGAGAGCCAAACATGCTTCCCACTCGGGTGATGGTGTCTGTGCCTGGGGCATTGATGGTGAATCTGGTGAAATTGTTGATATGAATGTTAAGGGTATTTGGGAGCCATTGGCTGTTAAAATGCAAACATACAAAACTGCTGTAGAGACTGCCATTCTTTTGCTGAGAATTGATGATATTGTTTCTGGTTCCAAGAAGAAGGGTGGTAATGAACCAGTTAACCCCGCAGCTGCTGCTGCCGGTGCTGAATAGACAGCTCCACAAAAAACAAAAAAATTATCTTTTAATTTTATCGTATTAAAACTAAAAAAATCATATACAAAAAATCTTTTTTTGCTATAACTTTAACATTACATTAATCATCATTTTTTCATGTTTTACCACCACCACCTACCTACCCCCCGGAAAAGGAAAGAACTAAAAATCACCTGCATTTATCTAAAAGAAATATAAATGTAAAAAAACAAATGATTTGAGTAACCAGCCTCTATACACATTTCAAATAAGTTAAGGCTTTAAATTCTACAAGTTTTCGTTAAATGTTTTGTTGCTTCACCCCTATCGGATCCTCGTAGATCCAATACTTCTCATTAACATTTATAATAAACAAGAACAAAAACAAAAAAAATATTCCCAAAGTTTTATTTGCAGTAAGATGTTTGAAGGATGTTTTACAGATTTTTTTAAAGAAGCCATAGACCACAATAGTCGTGGATTGTTTTAAGATTTGTTGGTGAAATCAAAGACCACAATATGCGTAGATTTTTTAACGATTTTAGGCCATAGTAGGCTTGAATTTTTGAAGATTTAAAAGTGGATTCTTTTTAAATTTTTGGTTTAATTTTTTTATTACCTATTCAAAAAAAAAATTACACATTTTTACACTTTCGAATAAATTCTAAAATATTGTTACGAATACAGTGGTGGCCACAGAATTAAAACATTTACTGTGGTAAACATTTTTTGATCAGCCCTCGATTCGTTTGAAGTATTTTTGAAAATTTTTTAATTCAGAACACTTCGATATACTGCACTTAAGAGATTTAGTGTGGAAATGGAAAATTATTTCATGCAATTTTTCCATAAATAACGGTTTTTATGAAAATACATCGACTTTGAAGTGGCCATATAATTAAAACATTGTGTAATTTTTTACTTTACTGCATTTTTTTTTTAATATTTTTTAAAAAAGCTCTTTAATTTAGTTGAATTATGTAAACTAAGCACCGATAAAATCATTTACTGATAAAAATTTTTGAAAAAAATCTGTAAAATCTATCAAAATTGCCAACAATTTGTACAGTACACCTAACATTCAGAAAATCACCTTTATTATAGAAAATAAAGGTCCGAATGCACCAGAAATTGCTAGAATTAGTAAAAAACAATAAATAATTCTCAAAATAAATAAATATTTGAAATAAAAACTCAAAAAATGGGAATTAACCTAAAGGAACGATTCAATTTCAATAGCCTTTACTGAAGAAGGCCGGAATATTTTTGCAGTATGTGAGAAAATATCGATTGATATTGGTATTTATTATATCAAATCGATTGTTCGAGTAGTACAGAATATATTTAATCAAAAAATTTATCAGTCACAACAGAACGAACAGAGATCAACACCTATGTTGACGAGAAAACGTTTCTGGTACACAGCAGCATGTTTGATGGTTAACTCTTGACCCTTCAAATCTATTGAACATGACAATATTTTTCCAAAATAATATTTTTTGGAGAGAATAATGCCCATTTAATCTATTTTAGCCTAAAAGAAAGAAAAATTTTACAATTTGACAAATATTTAAAGTCTTGTGTTGAGCATCAAAAATGCTGCTGTGTGGCGGAATCTTTTACTCGTCAACATAGGCATTGATCTCTGTTCTTTCTGTTGTGACTGGTATATTTTTTGATAAAATATATTCTGTACTACTCGAACATCGATTTGATGTAATAAATGCCAATATCAATCGATATTTCCTCACATACTGCAAAAATATTCCGGCCTTCTTCAATAAAGGCTATTGAAATTGAATCGTTCCTTTAGGTTAATTCCCATTTTTTAAGTTTTTATTTCAAATATTTATTTATTTTGAGAATTATTTATTGTTTTTTACTAATTCTAGCAATTTCTGGTGCATTCGGACCTTTATTTTCTATAATAAAGGTGATTTTCTGAATGTTAGGTGTACTGTACAAATTGTTGGCAATTTTGATAGATTTTACAGATTTTTTTCAAAAATTTTTATCAGTAAATGATTTTATCGGTGCTTAGTTTATATAATTTAACTAAATTAAAGAGCTTTTTTAAAAAATATTAAAAAAAAAATGCAGTAAAGTAAAAAATTACACAATGTTTTAATTATATGGCCACTTCAAAGTCGATGTATTTTCATAAAAACCGTTATTTATGGAAAAATTGCATGAAATAATTTTCCATTTCCACACTAAATCTCTTAAGTGCAGTATATCGAAGTGTTCTGAATTAAAAAATTTTCAAAAATACTTCAAACGAATCGAGGGCTGATCAAAAAATGTTTACCACAGTAAATGTTTTAATTCTGTGGCCACCACTGTATAACTTTAGATTTAAGTTAATTTAGATGAATTCCGTTAATTTAAGAATTTGAATTGTAACGTAAATTTCTACTACGCAGTTTATTTGAATAACTTCACAACAACAACCACTGTATAGATTTTTCTACATCCTTCCATTTCCTCTTTCATTTTCTATTTTGTTATTGTCGTACAATTCTTGTTAAACGTCATTCCTCTTTCTTTGTTATTCCCTCGCCTGTATATGTGTTGTTGTTATTCCTCTTTCTTTGTTATTCCCTCGCCTGTATATGTGTTGTTGTTATTGTAAGTTTGTTTACTCAAGTTTGTTGTTGTTATTGTTCACTCAGTAAGTTTGTTGTTGTTACTCAATGTGTTTGTTGCATTGGTAGATTGTTCGTGATCTAGGTGTTACCAGATCGTCTAGAAACTTCTGTAGCGACAGGCAGGGCTCATATAAATAGAGGGAATGGAAAGGCAGTGAGTCAGTTGTGAATCAGATCGCGAATTGAAACCGTCGAGTAAAGTAAAGTGCAAAGTAAAGTTGTGTGAATAAAATCATTGTAATAATCGTAATCCGAAAGAACCTGCGTTTTATTTGGTACGAGTTGTATCGGGAAATAAAACAACGTCTACGCGGGATTAAATAAAATCCAAGAACGTAACAATTGGTGTCCGAAGTGAGATTACGATAATACTACGATGAAGTTTAAGGATCTACGAGTGGAAGACTTAAAGAAGGAGCTCAATAAATTGGAATTGTCCTCTACTGGCAACAAGGCTGAACTACAAAAACGTCTGTTGGATGAGTTCGAGCGCCGTGGTATGAACATCGATACATATGAGTTTGACAGTAAGGATGAAGTGGATTTATCGGAAATGGGCGAATCCAACGGTGGGGAAGTCTCGTCAGTAGCTGCCAGGGGTGACGATTTCAGAGAAATGCTGGCCAAAATGTTTGAGGAAAATTTCAGAAGGAGCGAAGAGAATTCCAGAAAGTTAGAAGAAAACACGAGACGAATGTTCGAAGAGAATTCCAGAAAGTTAGATGAACTCAAGGCAGAGAATTGTAGAATGAACGAGACACTCGGGAACATTACGGAAGTTATTGGAAGGAGAGTGGAAACCGTGGAGGTCCAAATTAAAGATTTGGATAAGAAAGTGCAGTCGGTTGACGAGAAATTTCTGGCCCACGACCACAGGTTTACGAATCTGGAGAAGAAAATTTCGGAACTGGAAATTAAAGGTGGTCCGGTGCGAGCTCCTGATAACACACTAAAAATCAAACCTCCTGTATTCGACGGCTCTACGTCATTCAATGTTTTCAAGTTACAGTTCGAGACGGTGGCTTCTAGAAATTCGTGGAACGACAGCGACAAAGCGGTTGCACTACTTCTGGCATTGAAGGGCAGTGCTGCGGATGTTATACAGAGTATTCCTGTCGCTTCTAGAAGCAACTATGAAGATGTTATTGCTGCCCTGGAACGTAAGTACGGTGGCGAACATAAACAAAACATCTACCTTATGGAACTAAGGGGAAAAGTACAGAGGGCAAACGAGACGTTACAAGACTTTGCAGCTGAGGTGGAACGTTTGGTGCTAATGGCGTATCCAGGAGAGAATCACCCATTGCTGGACCGTATGAAAATCGAAACCTTTGTGAATGGCATACGTGACCCTGAGATTAAATGTGCAACATATGCGTCACCAAAAGCGTCGTTTGCCGAAACTGTGTCGTTTGCCCTTGCCCAAGAGATGGCAAGGATAATTGTTAAGCCTCAGACCCACAAGATTCGCCAACTGGAGACCGAATGTTGCGAACACAAATCTCTCATTAACTTGATCAAGGACGCCATGAGGCGGGTAATAGAAGAAACAAAGTTAGTAGGGATGACTAAGCCCAGGGTTAGATGCTACAACTGCGATAAAGCAGGTCATATTGCGCGCGAATGCAGAGCTAAGCGCAAACGATCCAGGTCATCGTCACCTCATCTAACGAAAGATGGTAGAAGAATGGCTCAACAGTCCACCAATGAGTCACCGGTAAACAGGATCGAGCACAGAGAAGGCGGAAAACACGATAATGCTGATGCCCTGTCTCGTCGGCCATGCAAGGCAGAATACAGGCATTGCTCAAAGGCTGAGAATAAGGAGAATATCGTTGATGACCGACTATTGCAGTTTGAGTCGGGTGAAGATTGGTCGACGGAACAACGAAGAGATCCCATTCTGGGCAAAGTAATTTCGGCCATTGAAACGGGCAAGCGACCTAGTCGTAAAGAAATTACCTCCGAAAGCCCTCTTTTAAAATCCTATTGGGCCCAGTGGGACAGTCTACTTATAAAAGATGGCTGCCTATATCGCAAATGGGAAAGTGAGGACGGTAAATCTCACCGGAACTTGATCGTCGTCCCAGACTCCAAAATAAGAGATGTCTTGTCGGAGTTTCACGATGGGCCAAGTGGAGGACATCTTGGCATAGCAAAGACCGCTGAAAATGTAAAGCAGAGATTCTACTGGGTCGGCTGTCAAAAATCCATTGCCGACTGGATCGCCAATTGTGAAAGGTGCATAAAAGCTAAAGGTCCAACACGGAAGAGTCGAGGCTACATGCAGCAGTATAATTCAGGAGCCCCTTTTGAAAGAATCGCAATGGATGTAGCTGGACCGTTCCCCACAAGCGACTCTGGGAACCGGTATGTCTTAG